CTGCGCGCCATGTGGGACCCTCCTCAGGTGGCCGGGGAGCAGCCGGGGATCGAACCTGTGCCGCAGAGGCTGCAGGCAGCTTCACAACCCAGCGCTCAACCTCTGCGCCACCGGGGAGGCCCAAGAAGGGTACACTCTTGTCCTCTGTGCCCAGCTCACAGCAGCGGGACCCTGCCATCCCTCAAAAGCATTACTCGGCACAGACAAGCACAAGTTTTGATCCCTGCTCTCAGGAACCCAGTTCCAGGCAGTCAGGAAGTCTTCCCTGGTATCTATCCTTGTTAGGCCTGCAGCAGCCCAAACCTATTTCCCCAGCCCTACTCCACACCCCACTGGGGCCAGGATTCTAGAAATCCTAAGGCCCTCTTTTCTCAAGACAGACGTAACTGACTTCAGCAACGGCCTGCAAACCAGCAAGTCAACTCCCCAGTTGACAGAGGAGAAAAGGGAGACCAGAGGTAGAAGAGATTTGTCCAATCATCTGGAAAGAAGGTGAAGGAGCCAGGGCTTAACCTGGGTCTCAGCTAAAAAACAGGAGAAACCACGAGGGCTGTTCCAGAATTTAATGAGGCATAGGGAGGAACCAAACTCTGTATTAAGGATCCCAGGATCTACACTGTGGCACATGCTTGGCCTTCAGAACGCCAGAATCTGGGAACACAGAGGAGAAGAGGGCCAAGTAGACACAACCTTAAGAAACCTTGAGGCAGACTGAACGCTGGGGGGTACACAGTCTTGGTGGAGGTCACAAAACCCCCGTCACCAATGAGTTGGTCATTGAACTTGGGACAGACGCTATCTGATGAAACCATTTCCAGGAACCACTTGGGCACCAAGTTGAAAGCAATTAAAAGGCACACTAACCACACGGAGTCTGCACCTGTTGCTGGGGCAGTCTGCTCCACACCTGGGCTGGACGGCAGGGGCCCCAGGGCGGGAGCCCTCCCGAGCACAACCCAGCTCTGAGCATCCAGCACAGCACCCTGCCCACCTGCCCACATAGCGTTTGCGCTGCCTGGGGTTTAGACACCTGCTCCCCAGCGTCCCAGCATCCTCTCCTGCCAGACCGTCTGGTTGCTGGGAGCTGGACTTACCTGGGACAATGGCAAAAGTCTCCCTCTGTCTGCAGTAGGCCCTTCTCCCAGAAGCCCGTCTATCCACTGAGGACTTTCACGGGTGACCCTGATGGGCAGGCTGCAAGGGCCATGACCCCTGTCCACACAGCCCTGACTCCAAGCCAGGTGGGCGTCTACTCACACGGGACTCAACTGAGAAGTGCTAAAATGCTGATTCCTGGGCTGCCGCACAGAATCCAAACTTGTTTTATTTAGGGGGTAGTAAGGCCTTGGAAAGATAGTATCATTGCAACTGAAAGAGAATCTCATTCTCAGTGTCCCAGGCTGGCTACACTCACTTGTGCTGCCAACCTGACAGCTGTTACAGCTGTGTGTGTGGACACAGTTAATCTGATTTCCTGTCTGGCAGCTGTGCAGCAGGGAAGGGACAGCTGAGGGTCTCAAAAACAAAAAGAGGGGATGAGGTAAGAGATGGGGGCAGGGGAGGCTGTCTGTATGGGATGGGGTATTCTACTTTGTTCCTCAGCCCCCTTTTCTCTTTGGGCCAGAATCCCCAGAGAAAGGAAGACAGCTGACCAAGTGATCCCCAGTATTTATAGAAAACAAAGCCTCCTCTCAGGATTCCCTGAGGCCAGACTGATGTCTATCCTCCAGGAGCACAGACACTGGAGGCACAGAGGCCCATGAAACAAGGCTGGACAGATTCTGTACTGCACAAAGGCACCAATCTGAAGGGGTAGTTTGGGGGCTGAAATCTAGGCTACATCCCAATTGCTGGGCCACAGACTCTAGTATAAGAAGAAGGATCATTTTTAAAAAAATTGTACAAAGGAACTTTTGGGCAGGTTAGCAGTGGCCATACCCAGAAATCTGAGTCTCAGTCCCAGCTGCCACTTACTTTGTGACCTGAGCAAGTTCCTTTAACTCTCTGATCCTTCTCAGTTGTAAAACATGGCTATTTACATTTTCCCGAGAGAGAAGGCCAGGAAAGCACCTGATGCCTTGCAATTGGTTCATTACAGTACTAGTTCCCTTCCCTCAGTCTCGCCCTTCCCACCTCCCAGCCCTACACCTACATGCCTCTCCGAACCCTAACCCCCCCAACCCCACCCCAGCAAGCTTGGAATGGGCTGGAAAATGTGAAGAATGTCCAAGGAAAATCCCAATACCAAACCCAAGTCCCTTGGCACTTCCCCAAATCCACAGCATCCCTTCCTGGCACAAGCAGGATTCATAACCTCCCTCTCCGGGGACAAAGACTCCCCCTCCACGCCTGCTCACAATATCCTGCACATGGCCAAGCATCAGCTCTGCCCAGCGCAGGCAAGAGGGGAATCCAGGGCCCACAGAAGGGAGGAAGGGATTTCCCTGCCATGTGTCCTGAGGAAACCCACACTGGATCCATGTTCCCAGGTTCCCCAAAGCAAGACCAGGACTGGATGAAGAGTTGCCCACTATGCACTGGGCTGCTGAGGGGGAGACAGGCAGAGACCCCATTCATTCGGGAAGACCTCTGAGCACACCAGCGGAAGCTGGTATGTCCCCCTTCTCAAGCAGGAACAGCAGAGAGCACCCCTCATCTGACCTGGTGCCAAGGCCCTGGCTTGTGTGGGGCCACTCACCAATGCTATCTCTATACACCAAGCCCCAGAATAGAGCCCAGGAGTCCTGCCATCAGCCCTGGATGCCAGCCCCCTCCAGCAACACTCATTCATCCACATGCCAGGCACTGTGCTAAGTGCTGGGGAATGGCAGTGAACTAGGCAACCCAGGAGCAAAGGAGACCCCTAAAGTAGGGGTTCAAAGACTTGCTATTAGAGTAAGTAGAGTCCAGAGTAGCAAACACCCACCCTGGAAAGCCCCTTTTCCCCAATCCATGGGGCTGGGGAGGGCCAGTGACTTGCGCCACCCAAGCAGTGTCCCTGCACACCTGCTTTTAGAGGGAGTGGGGGGTGGTGGGGCAGCAGGCGGCCTGAGCTCTCATAGCTGTGTTTATCTGGGGTGGATTTTTTTTAACCCAAAGGTTAAAGTGTTTCTATTTGAAACATCTATTTACATTCCAGAGTCCAAAAAAAAAAACAAGACAGCGAGCTCCAGGCCTATATCTGTCCCCAGCCGCGTCACAGACACAGCATCAGAGCTGCGCAGGGGGAACATTCTTAGCCTCTCCCGGAGCTGCCGAGGTGACTCACACCTCCCTCCTGCCAGCATGGACCACGCCACCACGCAGAAGGCTAGGCCGAGGAGGGAGAGAGAAAGAGAGAGAGAGAAAGCGCTAGCGAGAGCCACTGCTGGAAAGGGAGTGGACAGACAGGGATCCAGAGAGGTGCTGGCTGGGGGAGGACTGTGCAGGGACAGAAAGCCTTAGGGAAGGGATGGGGCGACGGGGGCTCCAGTTTGCAAGGATCCGAGGATCTAACTTAAAAGGTGAGAGAACAAGTTGAGGGGGAAACTTCCGGCCAACTACCAGCTGCTGCTGGGAGTCAAGGGACAGTGGGGACAGGGTAGGATGGGGGGGATCGATATGGCATCTGCCACAGAAGTACCAAGCAGATGCTGTGCAGTCAGTCAGTCAGTCCTTTGCTTTCAAAGAGACCACCTGGCCTCCCAGAGGATTTGGGGGTCACCAGGCAGGGTCTTTAGCTAGAGCTACAGACTCAACCTTACCAGGGCTGGGCTAGCCCTCCATGTTTATACCCCATCCATAGGCACGCTGCAGGGCTGGCCCCCAAGATTATGCCCCCCATCCAAAGGCCTGCATGGGCACCCTATAAGGCTGGTCCCCTATACTAGGTGATGGCATGGGCATCCAAGCCCAAGCAGATAGCAGACTTTGTTCCAAGGGTTTCCCAAAACATTCACCCTCTGACACATCCCAGTCTAGCTGCAACCTTATCCCTGGATGGCTCAGAGCCAAATCACAGGTACCTCAGTAGGCACACTGCTCCCACAGCTTCCAGTTTAAGGCTTGGGACCCACACCCACGTATCCAGAGGCCAAGACTCCCTATACATACAGACATAGACACCCACACCGGGGTGCCAAACCACTGCCAGGAGGGGCCAAGCAGGCATGGGTCCAGCAGGCCCCTCCCTAGAGGAAGCATCTTGTGGTGCCGGCCTGGTGGGGAAGCTTTGCCAGAAAGGCTTGATGCTGCCAACAGGTTCCTGGGAGAGAGGGAGGGAGTGGCCCAACTCAGGGGGGCCCCACCCCTAGCCAAGGGCCAAAAAGTTCCTGCTGAGAAGGTGGCAGGGTTAGGAGGTCCTCAAGCCCACACGAGCTCAGGTGGCACCCCTTCATCCTAATGATGTGGGAATACACCGAGGCCTGGGGGAAGGAGAGTTATGGAGGAGCCAGGAGCTAAAGCAGCCAAGACCCCTGACATCCTGGGCACCAGCCTCTGCCTAACTCTACCACAAGCACAAACCTCCTCCCCAGCCGTCTGTTCCCAAGGGACTTCTGACAGAGACTTGCAGAAATCACTGCACTCCACCTTCTGTCCCCAAGCAACAGCCCGGAGAGCTAGGGAGCCTTTATTCTTATGGACACTCCACCTTCTCCCCCTGCCCAGACCTAGGGAGCAATCTGATGGCAGGTCACTGACCCACTTCCTCCCCTCTGACTGCAGTGCCAACTAGGCCAGGATCCTCTAGTAATCCACAGCCCCCAGCAGCTGATACCAACCCTGCTGAAGATGCAGCGGAACGCAGCTGGAGGGTATGACCAGAGGGCAGGTTCTGGGCCAGGGAGGACAGGGAAGCCCACCTGGGTGCGCAAGGCTCCCCTGACTGCCTGTATTATCAACAAAGCTCTCCAGAAAAACCCAAGCAAGACCCTATCTGGGTGAGACTTGAAGCCAAATGCTCAGTCCAGGGACAAGGCTGTCCAGGGGCAGAGGGCAGGCTGGAACGCTGAGGCACTTACCTGCCACAGGGATGCCATGCAGAGGGGTCCGAGGCAGGATCTCCAAGGATGGCTCCCGGCTTGACATCCCATCTGCTGAGAAACAGGATTCCGTCTCATAGATGGTCTGCAGCATCTCCACAAGCCCCTGAGCCTTGGGCACCAGCAGCATGCCAGGGAGGGGGCCGCCTGAGGCGGGAAGTCAGCCAAAGGAAAAGTGGTCGGGTGGGGCCCTCACTGCTCAGGGGCTCCCTCAGGCCACTGTGGTTGGGACCGGAGCAGTGGGGAGATGCCTCATCCGGCCTGGTTGCACTAGGTTCCTGGCAGCAGGAGGAGCCGGCAGACAGGCCCAGGAGCTACGGCCACTCTCCTCTAGAGGGGCATCCGACCAGCGACCAGCACCGTCCCCCAGCTCACAGGAGCCGGGTATGGCTGAGTGCTCAGGGGACAGGAAGGGGAGCTCAGCAGGCAGGCGGGCTCTCTGTGTTCCCTCCCAACCCTGGGTGACAGCTCTGGGCCCGGCTCCCTGCTCCTCCTTCCCGAATGAGCCGCCGGCAGCTGGCAGGAGACTGAAATAGCAGTTGGGGGAGGGCCCTGTCTATAAATAGGTGGAGCATGCTCAGGGAGCCGCCGGCCGGCTGCCAGGAGCCCAGGCCTGGCGGAGGCCCCATCGGGGGTGGGGGGAGGTGAGTTCCACCCCAGGAGGAAGCGCCAAGGAGGGGGATGGGAACAGGGGAGGGCCTGTACTCAGGGCCAAGGCCACAGAGCCCAGTGACCAAAACCAGGCTGGAGAAGGGCACAGGCTGGAGAGCCCGTGAGTTTCGGAGGAGCTCTGGAGCTGTTATTGGTAGGCAAGGGGCTGGAGACAGAAGCAAGCTCCATCCCTCTCCCCTCCCCTTGCCATCCAGAGCAGGTAAAGGAAGTGGGTCTGGAAAAGGCAGCTGACAAGGCCACCTGGTCTAGGAGCCCTGACCACAGGGGGAAGTTTACTTAACTTCTCCCTTTCCTCAGAGCTGGGAGGTGTCTCCCCACCCCCTCAACCAGTAAGAAGACCCCTAGCAGCAGTTAAATGGCAGCTCCCTCCTACCCATTATGGTGTTGCCTCCAGAGGCTGCTCAGCTTCCTTCCAGCGGGGCAGGTCTTGCCCCTGTCCAGGGAAGAGGATGGAGAAGCACCTGCGCATTCTCAGAGTACAAATAGTACCTGAGGCAATGCTAAGAGCAACACATATATGACTTAATTTTTTCTGCATGATGACCCCAGGAGATAGGTACAGGGGAGAAATTGAGGCACAAAGATGAAGTCATTCACCCTAGATCCTACAGCTGCCTACATGCAGGGCTGAGATGTCTGCAGTCTACCACCACAGCCCACTGCCTCTTGAACGGGGAGTGCAGGAACCCGTCCTAGGGTTTCTGCTAACAGGTGTGATGACCCCCATTACCCAGGCAGGAACAGATGAGGTCGGGGCCTCTCAAGAGCCCAGAGGCTGCCAGCCCCCAATCCTTCCCCACCAGCCTCAGGCCTGGCAGAGCAGCTGGGGCTCTGCAGGAATTTAGGGCCGGTACCCCAAGAGGACTAGTAATACCCACCCACCAGGTCTACTGCTGGCCAGTCCCTTTTCCTCAGGTGTTACCTCCCACTGGTAGAGAGATCCCACTTGGCCCCCTGACCTCACTGGAGCCTTTTAATAGCCTGGTTATTCCTGGGTCTATGCCCCCTCCCCCTTCCTGATGTCACAGTTGCTATTTTCGAGCCCCCTCCTGGCCCCTCCTTGCCCCCAACTCTAGGCATGGAGCCAGGGACACCTGTCCTCTCCCTGGACTGGATGACCTCACCCTCCTGTCGGGAGCCCAAGAGGAACTGGCCAACCAAGGACACAGTGGCTATAGCTCCTGAAGCCCATCTTCCCACCCAGCTTCTGCCAGTCAGGGATGGCAAAGGGGCCTCCTGCCCTCAGGCTGGGGGGGCGGTGCGGGTACATGAACATGGGAGGTGGTCGAGGTGGATTTTCCCAGATCCTAGATCCCAGGCCCAAAATTGTATACTGGGGGGACAGACGGGTAGGAAAGAACAGGAGACTGAGGCCCAGCCTCTCAGCCAGGATGGACTCTAGAAAAATGGGAATGGAGCAGTGCTGCTACCAGGGCCTGAGGTTGGTGGGCATCAGGGTGGGCATGGAGACCTCGTTCTCCACCCCCTGCCGCAGGTTCATCCTGGCTAACTAGGCTCTCTCAAGAGGAAGGAAAGGGAAGCCCAGGTGGGGTAACATGCAGCAGACTCCAGGGAGCCCAGAAAGCCGGGGGCAACAGGCCCTCCCAGCCCAGAGCTCCACCCACCCACGCTAGGAGCAACCGGAAGGGCTGGCTAGCCCTGTCCTGGCTCTCTCTGCCCGCCCCAGGCATAGGAGAGTACGGGAGGGGAGCCCTGTTCTGGAAGAAAGGAAGTCACCAGTTACAATGACTCAAAATCAGGGTCTCCAGAACCTGGAGCAGCTAGAAACCTACAGAGGGAAAAATTCTACTCAGGGAGGATCAGAGTTCGCAGAAGGCTGGACATCCAGAGGTGGCCAGAGTCACCAGGGCCAGCTTCCAGCGCTGTTACTGTTCCATTAACAGCTGAGGTGGGAAGCAAAGTGTCAGAAACAGCCAGACATTCCTCAATGCAATTCCCAGAATCCTCCCAGCAGTAAGAAAGGAAACCTGGGGTGGAGACAAGTGTCTCTTTTTCTTCTTAGATTCAGGTGACGCAACAAGGTCTTCCCGATGTTTAACTTCAATCCTTCCTGCTTCACAGCCCCCCTCTCCTTGTGGTTCATTTCTCTCCTCCGTCCCAACCCAGTCGGCCCACCCATGCATTACCCTGCAAACCTCAGAGAGCACCCACCAAGCATGGGGTACTTGGACCTTATAGAGAGCTAGCACCTCCCCTCCAGACCACAATGGCCTCATTTCCTCCCTGGGCTCAGGCCTCCTAAGCCTCCAGAGAAGGGGAGGAACACAGTGCCGGCTCCGTGAGCGCCTCCAAGATCCCATTTCCTGGGCTCTAAAAGTTGGGTTGGATGGAGCCCTGACGCAAGGAAGCAAGACCTGCTTTGTAAACAGGAAAAAAGTCAAGGGCTGGCCCAGGAGCACCCTGGTTAGAGTGCGGGGTGCCAGCTGCCCTAGGGCTCCAGAGACGTCAGGCTGCCTGCCCTCCAGTTCTCTCCTGCCCTCTGAGCCCAGTCATGCCGGAGCGTGTCGGCATTGCCCAGGAGCTGCCATGTGCCAGGCCCATGCTAGGCGCTGGATGAACCCTCTCATTTGAAACCAAGTCCAGGAAAAATGTGAACACCTACTTTGGCATCTTCCATATCCCCTCAGGGTTGACCCTGCCTCCTCCAACCATTCCATTCTAAGCCATCAATCCCTTTGGAATGATGGCGCAGGGAAGAGGAAGGAGAAGCAGATCCCAGTCTACAGTGAGCACAGAGGCACGCCAGGGGCCATGCAAGTGGAAAAGGGACACCGAGTGTCCACTTCCCAGACCCCCGCCCCATGCCAGCACTGACCCACTTTCTCCTCCTCGGGGCTGGCTGCCCGCCTCCCCTAGGGGCTCAGGAGCAGAGGCCCAGCCCGAGTCGGGGAGGCAGGACGCCGAGGTTCCTGGCTCCACCCCACGCCCATGCCCCAGATTCTCTGGTCACCCAGAAAGGAGGGGGCAGCTGCCCTCCCTCCTGGGAAAGGGAAGGAGAGAAAGTGTGGAGCGTGCTGGGAGGTGCTGGGCAGGCGGTTGTCGTCACAAAGCTTGTCTCCCTCCCACGCCGGGGCTAAGGACCTGGCTGCCTCCTCTGCGGCCCTGTGACCATCTAAACTGGCTCTCGTGGCAGAGCTCACTCAAACCCTCTCCTTTGGGCAATGGCACGGGACAATGACCGAGCAGGGCCCCGTCCCAGGTGCTCCATCCTGGCTTGGCGAGTCCAGGCAGGAGGCAGGTCCGTCAGTCCTTCAACCCCAGGACGGGAGCAGTCACGGTCAGCTCCAGAAAAATGAAGTTTGGCTCTCAAGCCCCCTTTCACCTGAAGAGAAGCCAGACATCAGGGAGTGGCCTCCTCAGGGAAGCGGCAGCCCCATCAATGGCTTCAACCTGTACTCTCAGGACAGCAAAAGAGGCAAATGAGGTCAAATGCTGGCATGGGGCCCAGACCCAAGGTAAGTAGATCAACTCCCACTCCCCAGGGAGGAGGGGTGAGCCCAAAAGGAAATCACTCCACGTGGCTACCTGCCGCCCCTCACCAGGCACACCCTCTCACTGACTGCGAGGGGCAGGACGGACCACCTTCTATCTGATTCTGCTCCCCTGCAGGCCAAACTCAGGGCTGGGCAGGTCAGTGATACTCAGCAAGGACTGGCCAAGCAGTAAGCTCCAGTAACTAAAAGAAACTGAGGAATGGGGAACAGCAGAAGATTCTGCTCTTAACCAGGCCTGTGGTTCTGTGCCCTTGGGAATGACAAGGGAGTCTTTGGAGATGTGGGGAGAGGGAGTGAGTTGCTCAGGAGCCTGGGGCACTCAGGTCCTGGGGAGCAACTAGTCTCATCATTCCCACCTCTATGCCTTGTGGATTCAGGCTCTTCCTGGGATTTTCTGTGGGGTGTCCATGGAGGGACTGAACAGCCATGCGCTTTCCTTTTACTTCTGAGGCACTTAAGAGCACATGGTTTCCAGACTTATGCAGGTGCCAGGCACCACACCCCTAGCCCAGATGCCACTCTGGAATAGCAGATGCTGGGCTTCTGGATGGGGAAGGGCTGTGTGGAGGCTGGTGCCTCCCTGGCCCAGGGGCCCCAAGCAATTGTAGCTGGTCCCAGAGCCTGGGGCAATCTGAGGAGGAAAGGCCTCAAGGGGCTGCCCCCAAGTAATAATCCCAGCTCTGAAGGCTCCTCACAGTCCTAAAATGAGGCTCCCAATCTCTGGCCCCCTCCTCGCCCTCCTTTCCCAGCACAGAGAAGACAGCATCTCCCCCTGCTGGGGGGAGCTGGAAAGCCAGCCAAGAGGTGCAGCCCATTCCATAGGGCCCACTCAGGAGGCTCCTCCAGGCCCGCTCAGCAGCTCCTCCCAGGCTGCCAGCTTTCTGTGCACGGTGTACACCTGCAGCTACTGCCACACCCTTCAACCCTGGCGGAATGGCTGGTGCAAGGGGAACTCAGACCTCCAAGGTCTGGAACGGCAACCTAGTGGCCTCATCTATCCAACAGGGATTATTTTGGCCTTTCACTGGAAAGACCTGAAACCCCAAATCTGGGAAAAGTCCTTCCCAAACCACCAATAGAAGCCCCAGGGCCAAGGGTTAGCCCCAGGTGTGACTGGCAGTGCCTCCTGGACAGGGCTACAGAGTAGCTCAGAGGAAAGGAAAAGCTGGCATTACTGCCCGGCACAATCATCCCCACCAGGGGCAGTGTCCAGCTGAGATGGGCAAGGGACTAATGAGAACCCACTAGGCCTCTCCTTTCCCTTTGTGGTCCAACCTAAAAGGAGGAAGCAGGAAGTGAGAGCAGAACACTGCCCCCTCCAGCACCTAGTCACATGCACCTCTCCACGTCTAACCCAGGGCACAGAGCCTACAGGATGGATGAAAGCAAGGGCAGAGGCAGGAGGATCTCAGGGAGTCACGCACCCTGCAGGAGGGGCAAGGCTGACTTGGGGAGTCCCAGAAGCCCAGGTTCTCCAGTTGGCCTTCGACTCTGCCTGCAGCCATGCCCAGGGTCTGTCATGCCTGCGAGGGAGGGGAGGGACATATCCTTGACCCAAATAAACAGCACAAGTCAACCAACTGCACCAGCTTCCCGCTTCCCTGAGTCTGCTGGAGCCGCCAGGACCCTGGTGAGGGCCTCTCCCACATATCACCAGCACTGGGTCCCCACAACACAAAGCATCAGGCCCAACAAAGTGAAGACGAGGGCACGGATTTCCCCCCATGACCTCCACCCCCCAGGCTATCTCTGTGCCATTCTGCAAATGGGTTTTCATTTCTAGTTTCACTGTCCCTAAAAGAAGAAAAAATATCCCTCCACCCCTACAGAAAAAGGTGTGGGAGATAGAGGGGCTACGGGGGCTTAAAGTTAGAAAACATGGGCTCTGATCCTTTAAGACTATACAGAAAGAGACAGCTCAGGAGAGAAGGCAGTTATTACCCTGACCACACTGACCCTTGACCCATGTGTGAAACTCCTGAGGGTCCAACTCAGGCCACTTGGACACATCCTCATGGGCACACACCCAGACCCACCCATGCACAAAGTAGCCTGGAGACCCACCCACTGACTATTTCTGGCAGCACTAGGCAGGGTCCTAGAAGCAAAGGGGAATAGGAAATCTCAGACTCAAAGGCCCCAGACTAGGAATCCACCATGTCTAGAGCCCAAGAGGAGAAGAAGTCTACCTGGACTCAAAGGAGAGAGCCACGGCTCCTCGACCAACATAGCACTGCACCCCAGCCCAGTCCCACACATCCCGACACAGGCTCAGGCCAAAGGCCCTGAAACCTTCCACTAATAAAAAAAAGTATGCAACACAAAGAAATACTCCACCAAGAAGAAAAGTCACCAGCACAAAATGCTGGGCTCTCTGCTGCCACAGGGAAATTCTTAGCTCTTACAACATCATCCCCAACTGTTCAGAGGGATCAGGGACACACAGGGCAGGGTGGGGAGGGAATGGAAGGCCCCCAAGCGGGGCACAGAGGCATGGGAACAGAGTTGGTCCTCCCGGGGTCGGCCTGGATTGTCGCCCCATTGGTTCCGAAGTCTACCCCCAAGGTCAATAACTACAGGTTTGCCTCTGTCCTTTAGCAGCAATGCTTCTCCACTGCAGGCCCCCTCGCCCCCTCACAGCTCAGACACTGAAGGTCAGCTGGCCCTGGCTAGATACCCGCACAGCCCATCGCATCCAAGCGACCCGTAGGTGCTCTTCTCTGGCCTCCCAGCTCTTACCCGACTCGTTGGGAGAGTTCATGCCGGCTCTGGGCCTGCAGGAAGCTGGCGTTGGGGGCTGGGACAGGAGGGGGTGGAGCTGCGGTGATGTCAAGAGAGACAGACGATAACAGACAGACGGACGGGACAGGAGCCCGGGGCCGCTGTGCCTCTAATGCCCATCCGAGGCCATCCTTCCGGGCGAGGCAGTCAGGCACTCAGAACTGCATCCCTGGGGAGAGATGGAGCAGGGTTAGAGGCCCCCAACTCAGAAATCTGAGTGTCGAAGGAGACCTCAGAGCTTGTCACTTTACACCTGGGGAACAGAGAGAGGGGCACGGAGAGGATAAACAGACTTGGGCCAGACCCTGGCTTCTCCGCTCTATAACTAGTGAGTCTTCCCAGTGTCCGAGGATGGGACAAGGCTATGGTCGCCACACCACACCAACCAAACTCCTTTCCCAGCGCCTGTTAGATGTGAAGCCTTCTAGACTCCAAGTGTCCTGATGTGGGTTACGTATGCACCAGATGAGAAAAAGCAGGTAAGTTTCTGAACTCTTTCCATGGCAACAGGGGGATGCAAAGCTGACCTGGAGGCTGCAGCAGAAGTTAAGGGAGATGCTGATATCCCAGCCCCAGTAGCCTAAGCTGGGACTCTCAAGTCACGTCATCTCCCTACTTTCTGATCCTTGTGCCACCAACTCTGGAACTGTGATGTGCCTCCGACTTGGTCTGCCCATTTAACAAGTTAGGGCATGAGGGTAACCACCTCTCTTCCACCCATAACCCATGTGGTCTCCCAGAGTTTGGAAAGGTTGACACATTCATCCCAGACCCAACACCCCACCCTCATCAGCACTGGAGAACCAGGGCCCAAGTACAGGGCTATGTGCGTGTTGTTAGTTTGTGCCTGGGCGAGGAGGTCTGAAGTTCAATGAGCCATGCCATGGGACTGACACAGGCTGAGTCCATTCAAAATAAGGGACACAATTTTCCAGTTTGTACAAAGGCACCTAAAGGCCCAGCAGTAGGCTGAGATGCATGTATTAACAGAGAATGCCCGGTACAGAACTACAAGCTTGCTGACCGATCCCGTTCCCCAGCTCACTGACTCCGCCAGCCCCCTAGCAGATCCTTGAGCTTCAAACACTCTGCATGCACCCACCTGGGCCTATCCCTAAACAGCCCATGATCCATTTCAGACATGATCTCATTTTCTTCCAAACGAAGGCAGGTCCTCCAAGACCCAATGAAAGTGAGGTAGCAGGAAGCGATCAGATGAGGCTGAGAGGAGCTAGATGTTTAAGCTCTAACTCCACTCCCCAAGCCAGAAACAGGCAACCAGCTCTGCCCCCTGGACAGCCCCACCTTCAGGTAGGATTAATTCTCAGTAAGCCTTGCATTCTCATCAAGGATTCCCAGGGGTAGGGTCCATTTGGAACCCAGAAGCCAAGGAAATCAGCTGTGGCAGGAAAAGAACCCCCATTCTCCACCCCACCCCCAACACACACACACACACACACTGCTCCCTGCTTTTGTCCGTGCCCACGGTGTTTGGACTAGAGAAAGGTGTACTCAGATGGGGAGGTGGGAGGAGGCTGAGTGAAGGGGCCAAAAGGCTTCTGGCAGGCACAGGTGTGGGGCTAGGACAAAAGAGGCTGCTCAGGGCTGGGGCCAAGCTCAGGAATGCAGCAGGTGGAGCTGGTGGTGCCTTGGCATGGCCAGCGTGGGCAGGCAGCACAGCCCGTGCCCACCCCGGGGCTGGCACCCAGTCTTGCTCACACCCTTTCCCGTGGGCTGGGGAACACAGGTTCAGAAATTCCCACGATTCCCAGCAGCCCAAGAGGCCCAACCCATCTCTTCAGTGAGAGGCACCTCCACAGCGGGCATTCAGAAAGGGGCAGAGCCTCACTGGTACAAACTAGGTTAGGATCAGCCCTGTGTCCCCATCATCCACACCCCCTGGGAAGGAGGAGGAAGAGACTCCCAGAACTCCCAATTCACTCAGGCTGCACTTCTCCCCACCCTGCAGGATGCAGGAGCACCCCTGGGACTGTCTACCTGTGGAGAGTGTCTGCCAATAGCCCCATCAAGTCTCCCAGTAAGCAGGAAGCTCCCTCAGAAACAAAGCAGTGTTCACTGCCCACTCAGAGCAGGCACAGATACTAAGGACAGGGTGATGGTGAAAGCCTGAGCGTTCAGACCCTCTGCCAGAGAAACTTGCTTGGATGCCAAATCAGTGAGCAGCCTGGCATCCATGAAATCGTAAGTAGGCAGACCCCAGGGTCCTGCTGCCCTTCTCATCCCCGCCATATCAACTCTCCAAGTCAGGTCTCTGTCCTACTCCAGGATCCAAACACACCTCTCACCTCCAACCAGGATGGCAGGACAAGAAATAAGGGTAACGGGCAGCATCTCACCCAACAAGCTCATGGCAAAGGCAGGGGAGATGGGGAAAAAACCCTAGGGAGACAGCCCCCTATACAAGCATGTGTGCACGTACGCACGTGCGCGCGCGCACGCACACACACACACACACACACCCATTCTTGATCACTAAAAGTTAGGAACAGAAAGGCAGAAAAGGGAAGGAGACATGAAGCAATGTAATGCCCCACAGGTCACAAGTTCACCTGCTGCCCTGCAGGGATCTTGTCCTGCAAACAACTCCCTTGGAATTCCTAGGGAGTCAGGGGTCCCTTCCAGGGCTTCTCTAGAAGCTGGACTCCAGCATCATCAGGCAACCCCCTCCCAACATACCAGCTCCCACCCTGCTAGTGGCAGACCCAAATCCTGAGCACAGAGGTGAGACCAAGGTTCCCTCCCCAGGTCAGAGGCACCTAGGTGAGCAGTGTGAATCAAATCCTGCGCATCTGAGACTGCGCACAATCTGAGATCTGCCCCAAAAACTTATCGGAAAGCTACAAGCCCAGACAGCTAAGCTCAAGGCACAAAGGCCCTCTTATCTCGACCCCTCTGGATCCCAGCCACGACCGACCACTTTCCCCAGCCTTCCATTGCCTTGTGCCTCCCCTAAAGTGGGCCCCAAGAAGCCTGGGATTCTCAGAGACATGAGAGAGGGTTCACTTAGCTGTCCAGGCCCAAAATTAGGGGATCGGGGAGGGGAACAGGGGAGGAAAAAAGGCACCAAGCTGACAAATTCATTTTTGCAATCAGCCCATTTCTGTTTGTCTGCTCAGACGCAGCTCCAGGCATCTGCACAAGCCAGATGGAGGAGGCTGCTATTTCTAGAAAAAAAAAAGGGGGGGGGGGTGAGAGGGGAGGAAGGGAGGAGGCAGAGGCAGAGGGCAGAAGACCAGGTCTGTTTGCCCTAAAACCTCAGGCAGACCAATACCCCCTCCCCAGCACTACCAGACAGGGTTCCCATTCAAGAAAGGACGGGGTCTGGGTCTGGGGCTCTGGCGAGGTGGGGTGGAACAGAAGAAAGGCAGAGAAAGTTTAATTAGCCCAAGTCAGCTACAATAGGCCCCTCACGGGCAGGCGGCATCAGGTTTTCATTCATGAGAAAGCTACAGTGCTCCAAAAATGCCAAGAACCGCCCCCCCCAGTCTCTCCCCACCCCCCACCAACAGAAGTGCGTCCTCCAGCAGGCTGGCTGAGCCTGATGCCGTGTTCCAGACATCCCTCCTCAAAGGGATGTGAGTAGGAAGAATTAATTATTAAAGAGCAGCTGGTACTTCAGCACCGACTGCACTCCCCCCATCTCCTATAGCTGATTCCCCCACCCCTCCTGCAGAAACACTAACTACCCCCCACCAATCCCCAGGCCCCATATCTAAACACTCAGCTAAGATGCCAGCCCTAGGGAAAGGAAAGCAAACCTTTGTCTCAGTAGCTACTTGGAGTGGGTGGGGCTTGTGGTACTGCTGCCCCCTCCAAATTACCCATTCAGCCTCAGAGGATATACTGGGGAGGTGGGGCAGGCGGGCACAGAGCTAACATGTCCTCCATCCTTGGCCCCATTTAACTTGCACCTGGTATCTGCCTCGCTGCTCCCTGGCATGCATACCTTCCCAGGACAGAGGGGAGATGCTGGGGACCCACCCCTCTAACTCAGAGTCAAGATGCAGCCCAGAAGCATGTCCAAGCTGAGACAGGGCAAGGAGAAGATTCAAGAGCAGGGGCAGAAAGCAAACTAAGATCTCCCCAAGCTTGGAGCTCAGAAGGGACAGGACGGAGGGAAGACTGGAATGAAAAAGCAGGCAGCCCCCTGCTGGGCTCCATCCCCAGCCCAGCCCAGCCCAGCATCATGACAGCCAGCATAGGTTCAGGGACCCTGGCACCTGGATCTCCAACTGAGGACCCTCTCTGCCTGCATCCTCTGAACCTGAGAGGGCCCCGGGTCAGACCCAGCCCCAGCGCCAGTCCTGCAGGGCAGTCTGGCTAGGGGTCCCTCTGGCCAAGACTCCTGGATCTCCCCATTCCCTGCCTCCTTTTGTTTCTATTATCTGACTCCATCCTCCCTTCCCAGTTGGACCTGAACCCTATCGCCACCACCCCAAATTGCCAAAGCTAATTCTGGGCACCAGAAGCAGAGTGGTCACAGAATGCTGGGTCTCTTAAGCATCCCCGCCCCCCACCCCAGCCTGTCCCCCCCAGGAACAACTGTCGCTGCGACCTTTCTTCTTTAGGGACACAACTCAGAAGACCAACAGATGGGGTATCAGGTGGTCATCTCCTCCCTCATGGGGCACCCCTATCTCCTCTTTTCTCCCCTCCACTAACCAGACTCCCAGATTAATTACTTATCGCCCAGCCAGTTCTCATCTTCCCCAGGGCCCCAGAGAAGGGTGGGGTAGGGAAGCAGCCTCCCCCAAGTTAAAAGGCATAGGCAGAGGCCCTGCTTCCATGAGATCCAGACCGAGGGTGAAAAATGGGGGGCATCCACCCCAGACAAGAAGGGGGGAGCTGCATTTCATCCCTAGCTCGCTCGTGCTCACTCTCTTTCTCTCTCCGGCTCCAGGGTGTCAGACTGGAGAAGAGGGTGGGACAAACGCAGTAACGCCTCACGGGGGAGGGGGTGAGAATAATGGCAGAGAGAAGTAAGGTGGGCCCCGCCGGGCCCTCTCCTGCAGAGAAGTCAAGGACGCAAAATCAAGAATGCGATCTTAGGGATGGGTCGCGGCGCTGCGTGGTGGCCGGCGCCCCTCGGCTCGGAGTACCAAGAAAGGGGTGTCCAGCGAAGAGGGGCTGCACAGGATCCGGGCGCAG